TTCAGAGATATATTTGCACCCGAGATTTTTGGCCGAGAAACTTGAACAGCCAGTACGTGTTTTGGCCGAGAGATCTACCCGCAGGATGGATTTTAGCTGAGAATCTTCGACCATCAGTACAGCATTTTTCTGAGAAACTCAAAATTGCTCCTCTACACCATTTTTGATCATTTCAACTCCATTTCTTCATCTAAATCATATTCTCCACTCCAAATAAGCTCCATAAGCACCTGTTTAACACTCCAACCATGCAAAACTCTTTTAGACTTTGCAATCTCTAAAATCCTAAAACAATGCCTAAAAATCTAAAATGTATGCAAATGAGATATGATTTGGACTTAAATATGTACACTAAATGATGCAATTTATAAATATATCAGTTTTTCACCACAACAATTGGTCACGATGGTTGGCCAATTTATATATCTATATTGCCACTAATTGGTTATAATTATATCCTTGGCAAACTGTTGTTTTGTGTAGTCACATCAAATAGACTAGATGCAGCGAAATTAATTAATGTGGCCAGGGCGATTCTGTGGCGAATCCCTGGCTTATCAAAGTTTATATATACACGCTTCAACATCTCTCATTTCTACATCGAAACAGAGGATTCCCAGCTTGGAAAGGCTTGGAGGAATCCGGAGTATCTTAGTCAAATAGAGGGTTCTCACCGTGGTCTAGTTTAGATCACATCTCAAAATCGTTTACCGAAAAAATGACGAATTTTAATAATTCAAGAGAGTGATTGTATAAAAGATTAGAGCGCGAGAGAAATTGTGTATCCAATGAGTTTGTTAAAGGGTTAGAAATTTTTTTTGAATTTTTCCATCAATAAAGTTCATATATCAAACGAGGGACAATCTTGTGTCCATGCACCAAATGCAGAACCAAAAGAGGGCCGACATAGATACCGTGGCGAGTCACTTATATATGAAAAGATTTATGAAAAACACTATCGTATGGACGAGTCATGGAGAACAGTGCTATGAAGGAGATGAAGCATTTATGAATCATGCAGGGAAGGGAACTCGAAATTGGGATCAGAAATTTTCTTACAATCCTAACTACGTCCACGGGGAAGATCGGTCCCGATTGAAAATTTAGAAGAAGAAACTACAACAACAACGGTACCACAAGAGCCATGTACACTACAAAAAAACATGGTAAATTCCTAAAAATATTCCTACAAAAATTTTGGTAAGAAAATATTTTTATCATTTTTTGACAGAATTATGACGACATATTCAAATAGTAGAAAAAAGTAGAAAATTTCCTACGAAATAAATTCTTAAAAAATAATAAGAAATTTTCTACTAATTTTCTACCAAACTGATAACCGTAGAAAATTTGGTCAGAAATTGGTAAAAAAAATTTAAAAATTGAACATCAGAATTGTCAAAAATTTCTAACCACTCTCCTACCACATTAAATATTAAACATATTTAGTAAGAAAATGATAAATAATTTCTTACCCTATATCTTACTAATTGTATAAACATAGTTTATAAAAAAATTCAGTTAGAAAATTATCTACTATTTTCCTACTAAACATATATTTATTAATTAAATATTTTTATAAATTCCTACCAAAATCACGAAACCTAAATATATGCATCAGTATACTTTTTTATTTCCCTAACTACCTCTTTCTTCTTCCTCTAAATCAGCCGTATCTTCTTCATCTTCTAAATCTTCACACCAGATCTTATCAAAATGTTAGAATGGTATTTTGAAATTGAAGTTTTACTTTCTGTTCCTTTTCATTTAGTTTCTTCTTCTTCTTCTTTTTAGTTTCTTCTTCTTCTTTTAGTAGATACATAAAATTCTTCAGAGAGATTGGATCTGGGAAATAATTTCGCCAGAAGCAACAACGACAACGGACTGAAAGGAAAACTTCGAGACAGTGGTGACGGTGGCTTCAGATGTGAGAGAGGCAGCAATGGAGATTCGTCCTACACTGGAGAGATGTGTTAAATGCGGTGGCGGAGGCAGATCTGAGAAGGAAGATTGATATGGAGGCAGATCGGGGAAGGCAGATCCGAGAAGCGAAGGAAGAGCAATATAGAGTAGGAAACGGCGCCTGATGTTTTTTAAGACCTTTTTTATTTTTATTTTTATTTTTTTTCCTCATTCTAATCATTATTTATTGTTGTGGAAGCTTCCTTAGCCTAGTGGTTAATGGATCTTTAATGCTTTTATACCAAGAGATCTGGGTTTCGAGTCCCGGAATGTGCGATTTATTATTAATTTGCAGATTAATGGAGACAAGCTTACCGGAGGTTTTCAACGTGATGCATGGAGATTCGTTTGGCGTATTTGCAGGCAGGAGACTTGTCCGTTGTTAAATTGTCGATGTAATAGTTCTCATAATTTGTAATAGAATAATAGATCAGTGTTAAAAAAAAAAATCATTATTTATTGTTAAAACATTTGATTTTTTGTATATAGTTTCTTGAATTTATAATTAATTATATTTTTATTTTCAAATTAATTTATCAGAATTAATTTAATTTTCGAAATTAATTTAGTTTTGAAATTAATTTAATTTTTTTTTATTATTATCGTAGGAAAACGGTAGGAAAATTTATAACAAAATCCTACCAAATTTTCCATCGAAATTTTTCTACCAACGTTTTCGTAGGAAATTTCTTACCATTTTCCTACTTTTTACAATTTCCGATAACTGATTTCCTAAGAAAAAAAAATCGTAGAAATTTGGTTAAGAAAATGCAGTTTCCTATGATTTTCCGACGATATTTTCCTTAGGTTTTCTGCATGTTTTCTTGTAGTGATAACGATACAAAAATTTTTTTCCAGATGTTAAAGGCTGCAAATCAACCCCTTTACGAAGGGTGTGCAGAAGGGATTTCTGAGCTTTATCTTTCTTCTCGGGTGATCAATATAAAGACCAAGTATAATCTATCAGAGTTGTGTGTGGATGAAATTTTGCAGATATTCAAAGTTGTCCTACCGCTGGGTAATAAAGCTCCAAATTCGTTCTACAAAATAAAAAAGTGGTTAAAGTCATTGGGGTTGCCATTTCACAAGATTGACGTAGGTGAGAACAACTGCATGCTATTTTGGAGAGGCATAGATAGCAAACTGGAAAAATGACGTTTTTGCTCGAAAGATAGGTATATACCAAGAGTTGGAGCTGGAAAAAAAAATTCCCAAGCAAATGATGTTTTATTTGCCAATTGCTGATCGGTTGAAGCGTCTGTATCCATCGGAGGCTATAGCTGAACATATGAGATGACATGGAGAACATAGGTCTCTAGAAAGAGAGATGCATCATCCTTCTGATGGGGCTGCATGGAAACATTTTCAGCAGGTACATCCTCAATTTGCTTCAGAACATAGAAATGTTTATTTGTGGTTATCTATGGATGGATTTAATCCAATTGGCATGAATGGTCAATCACATTCGGTGTGGTCTGTTATAGTTACTCCATATCATCTGCCTCCAAGAATGTGTATGAAGAGAGAATATTTTTTCTCTCAATTTTAGTCCCTAGTCCTAAGCATCCGAAAAAGCTTGGATATTTATCTCCAACCATTGATTGAAGGGTTGAAGGATTTGTGGATAAATGGTTCAGACGTTTACGATGTCTTGCTAAGGCAGAATTTTAAGATGCGGACCGTTTTGATGTTGACTACAAGTGACTTTCCAGCGCACAGAATGTTGTCTGGATGGACGACGCATGCTCGCTTGTCCTGTCCATATTGCCTTGAAGAGACAAAAGCTTTTTGGTTACCAAATGGTAAGAAACAGAGTTGGTTTGATTGTCATAGGCCTTTCTTGCCTCCAGATCATCCTTACCAGAAGAACATCAAAGCTTTTACAAAAAAGAAAACCATATTTGATGAGCCACCTTGTTGGTTAAATGGAGAGGAAATTTTATACGAGCGAATCAACAATATCGAAGGTGTTTGTAGAAATATCGATTGTGGAGGTAGCAGACATAACAACCCATCTCGATCTATTGCAAGCTATGGTGACTACCATAATTGGGTTAAGAAAAGCATATTTTGGGATTTGCCTTATTGGGAAGATCTTCTTCTTAGACACAATCTTGATTTCATGCATATCGAGAAGAATTTTGACAATCTCATGAATACCATTTTGAATGTTTTCCTAGAAAGATGAAAGACAATGTCAAATCAAGGATGGATTTGGCAACAGTATGCAAGCGTCCAGAGTTAGAGCTTCTTCAAGGAAAAGCTCCAGTTCCTATTTTCAGATTATCAAAGCAAGGAAAAAAAAGAATTTCTACGATGGTTGAAAATGGATGTTAAATTCCCAGATGGATATTCTTCCAAATTTTCGAGACGTTTTGAGGAAAATACACTGAAGTTTATGGGACTAAAAAGTCATGATTGATATGCTATTATGCAACGTCTACTTCCCATCGCATTTCAAGAGTTGCTTCCAAAAGCCGCTCACACAGTTATTTTAGGTAATAATCAAAATTATATATATATATATATATGTCATTATCAATTTAAGTTATATTATTATAATGAGAAAATTACCTAAAATAACCTATTTTATTCTTGAAATAGCTAGAATAACTCATGATATATTTTATTACCCACATAACCTACTAATCAGTTTAAATTAATTATAACTCCTAAATTACTCTTATCATTTAATTTAATTTTAAATTCGTTTAAAAATACTTACTTAAATCCAGTAATTATGTTTTTCAAAAAAGGAAATATCTCTAATTTAAACCCTAAATAATTATAATCTTTAACACGACACAATTACTAGCCGACATCTCTCTGTTCCTTCTCTGCAGCTGTTCTTTGGAGAAAACTCACCGGCCTTTTCAACATTACTAAGCCAGGCAAATCATTGGCAAATTTGTATTAACTCTATCTAGGCAGAAATAAAACAGAAAGTTTCACTAAGGTATCTCTCTCTCCATCGTTTGTTGCAACAAATCTCATCTCTGAATTAAAATTTATTATTTTGTGATTCATGTTTTTGCAGAATGTCGATTCAAACAAATGTGGATTTAGGATTTCCATTACGGTTATATTCACGTGATTGTGAGCCAAAACCTAAAAAAAGCATCAATTACAATAGTAAAATTGAGTTTTTGGAAGAAGTAGAAAATGCTGTTGGAGAAGAAGTGTGGACCTACATCCGTGATTCTTCGCTGGGTGTAATTACACAGTTTGTAGGAAATAAGTTCACTTGGTCATCTAAGATCGTAGAGCATCTTCTTGTGAATCAACTTGCATGCAAAAAAAAGCATGAGATGTGGTGCTTGTTTGGAAACACACCGGCACGGTTCTCTTTATCATAGTTTGAAGACATAACGACTTTGAACTGTGCATCTTTTCCTGAGAGTGAGAATGATGTGGAATCCAAGGCACATAAAAAGTTGTGGAAAAAGTTGAAAGTACGCAGGAAGAGCCCTTGCAAGAAAGAGTTGAAAGCTGCTTTGGAAGACGTTTCTTCTTGGTCAAGAGAAGACAAAATTCGGTTTACGTATCTGTCTATTTTAGCAACTTTCATCATAGGTCAGGATGATAAAAAGGAGCTTCCGTTTGAATATGCTCGTATGGTTTTTGACTTGCCAAAATTTGAGAAATATCCTTGGGGGAGAGAGGCTTTCAAGCGGCTGATTGAATCAGTAAAGCGTGTAGATTTGGAAGCTAATTCATACACATTAGATGGATTTGTACAAACGCTTCAAATATGGGCTTACAATGTCGTTCCCAGTCTCGGAGCAAAGATTGGTCGTCCGTCAAACGTTGATGGTCCTCCTATTCTGAAATTTAAAGGTTTAAAAGGATTAAACAAGATCGATATCCATGTCGTCTCAGTTGCTGATAAGGTACGAGAATAGTTACTTGTGCATTGGTGCTGATTAAAATTATTTGAGAAATATTAATTCTAATTTTTTTTTAACTGTAGAAAAACATCAAGAGTATTGTTATCAACCATTTGACGCCCGTTGTTTGGGCTGATAGAGTTGTCGATGATAAAATTGACGCTCTTTTGAAAGCCATGTGTAAAGATGGTGGTTTAGGACTTGTGAATTGGGTGGAGCATGGGTCAAACAACATCAAAAAGGAAAAGAACGTAACAGCAGACGTAGGTGGAGAAGATGAAGAGGGAAAAGAAGAGAGCGATGGTAAACGAAAACGCAGATTAGAAGTGATGACAACAGGCAAGAAGAAAATGAAAGCACCATACTCAACCACTTCGTGTGATCATGCTGAAGCACTACACTTGAGAATGGAACTTGAGCAACAAGCAAAAAAATTAGAGACAATGGAGGCTCAGTTAGAATATATGGGAAAACAACTCAAGAGTTTTGAAGCAATGCACTCAAAGATTGAATTTTTGGAAAGAGAGGTGATGCTACTGAGAGAGAAGTTCACGACACACGATAATAGTTTGAATGTGCAGAGTTTTGAAGCAATGCAGTCAAAGTTTGAACAATTGGAGAAGGAGGTGATGGTACTTAGAGAGAAGCCCAAGTCTAAAGAGGTACGTATGCATGCTTTTACTTATGTTTTGGTAATTTAATTTTAAATATTTTCAAGTTGTACGTATGTATTATTTACTTTGCAGATACTTGATCTACAAATTAACATGTTCCTTTTTTGATATGCAGACTTTTATAATACCACAACTGAAAGACGAGGACATGCCTTTTGATGATTTGTTTGCCAACATAAATGCTGTAAGAGACCAAATGGGTGAATCAGATGGAGAGAGCACGGTAGATGCAAGATACCCGACGGTGAAAATTCCAGATGCACAGCCTCAAAAATCTTCGCCTATAAAGATAATTCAGCCTACTGCCTCTGTTGCAGAAAAGTTTATGCAGAAAAAAATTGGCCAGACATTAAAGATTATGGGAGTAGACAACCAAACTAAAATTGCACGACAGAAGAGCACAAGAGTGATTAAGCCAGGACCGGCTCTGCAAACACCATTTCGGAATACCCTATCCATTGTAGGCAACAACAAACAAGTTATCCAGTCTAACATGATGCTCCGACATGGTTACGATCCATTCGCCCCAGTGGATGTTTAGAAAATTAAGATTTTTTGGATGACTGGTTGCAATTAGACGAGTAAGTTATTTGTTTCTAATTTTTCATGTTACTAGTGCTCATATTAAATATAATTTCATTTATATTTCATTGTTATTTATGCAGGGAATATCCAATTGGCTCCCAGAACAATGGTGTAGAGTTTTTTAAAGTTTTTCGAACTCCACAAGACTGGCTAAATGATGAGGTTATTGCTACCTTCATATGTACTTTACTTTCACGTTTTCAATAGGACTTTTATATCTTATAAAATTGTTCTTATTTAGCAGTGCATCTTTTATAACAGCATATTGATAGTGCCATGAACTTGCTGCGGCTGAGATTTATGAAGAATCAAAATTTTTTTAGAAGTGGGAGAATCGCTTTCGTGGATACTTATTTCACCTCTGTGTGGACCAGCAGTTATGAGGAATTTTTAAAGGCACAAGACGTGCCTATTTTTCCTAATGGAGCGCATGAGTATTTTTCTGGTAAAATGCCGGCATTTGCAAAAACCGGGAAGAAGTGGAGGGTCGAAGTAGATGATATTTATGGTGTTCTTAATGTCAATAAGGACCATTGGGTAGCTCTTTATATTTCTATCCCTAAACGCACTATTCAAGTCTTTGATTGTGGATTGAAATATACTACTAACGAGCAGATCGTGAAAGCGGTGAAGCCAATAGCTCATATGCTACCACATTTACTTCGAGTTTCAGCTCCTCCATCTGAACGTGGGAAAATGAGTGTTGAACAATTCAAGATACGAAGGCCGTGAACAGGAATTCCTAAGATGCAAAAATCAGGTGATTGTGGTATTTATGCAATAAAATTCATTGAATGCCATGCCTTAGGAGTTGACTTCACAACACCTCTATCTGATGGAAATATCAAGATCATTAGAGAAAAGCTTGCAGCAGAGATATTTGACGAGACAGAGCAACATGGACACACAGTTTCGAACCCTTTACCATATGGTGCACAAGATCGGGAGTTATTAGATCCTTATTGAAGTTTCATTTTTTTATCATTGTTTTTCAAATATCTTTATGTTTCTGCAATGTTCTTGCAGTTTTCTGTATTTTTCTGGATTGTTCTATAGTTTTTTAAAGTTTCTCTACAATTTTCAGTAGTTTTTCTGTGGATCAGGATTTTTATAATTGTTTATTTTTCATTTGAGACATTTTTACAATTTTTCATGTGTATTGTTTACGTAGCATGTGGGTTTGCTGTTCGGTTGTCACTTTTTCTGTTTTCATCTTTTTTAGTGGTGGTTGCTTACTCATCAAGAAATCAAATATTGAAGAAAAAAAAAAGCAAGATCACGTTTATTTGTAAACTTGTAGCTTGGTTTCAAATAAATGAATGAAAAACTTCCTAAAAAACTTTGAAAACTTCAGAACTTAATATCAAATCACGACTGTTTCTCAAACATTTTTGCAGCTGGCACGGTTATGTCCTCCCATGTTACATTGTGAACATGTGTATTGTTTACGTAGCTTGTGGGTTTGCTGTTCAGTTGCCACTTTTTCTGTTTTCATCCTCTTTAGTGGTGGTTGCTTGCCCATCGCCTTTTCAAGTGCAGATAGATATCTTAATTTCTTTGGCCTACCTACACCACGTTTTACATCTGGTGGAAGGCACTTTTTCTTTGGTAAGTCTGCATGCGGTTCCCACTCATTATCTTCAGGATTAATTGACTCTGCATATGCACTGTACAAGGTACTCTTAGTGTAGTATGGATGCACGAGATTTTCCAAAGATAGGTTTGGTCGCTTCCCAATAACAGCAAGAGCATGTTCACAAGGTATCTTATCTACGTCGTATACGCGACAAGTACAACTCCTCTGTTACCAGTACGAGACGATTAAACCAAATTAGTAACACAATAACAACAGGTTCTAAGATGGTAATAATAAGATAATATCCAGAGAATATGAGTAGAAAAAATAAAAAATCATACCTGTTGCATATTAACAACACAAGCAAATGCACCGCCAGTGACATGGCTACGATGTGCATCTATATGATGCACCGTAAGAGTACTTCCAATATTGCATCGATATGTCAGTTTACGTTCGACACTTGGAGTAAAGAATGTTTGCAGTGACATAGCTTGTTCCCACCGTTTCATAAACCACTTTGAAAATAGCTTCCGAAGCTCTTTTAAAAAATAAGCAATTGGGTACTCGCGGGCATCTTTAAGAACCTTATTGATAGACTCAGCAATGTTGCTAGTCATTATGTCATATCTATCTCCTTGAAAATTTGCGCGAGACCACAAACGAACATCAGCCTTCTCCAAATATGTTGCAATATTAGGATTTTGCCTTCGAATCTCGTCAAATAGTGCAACAAACTCAGAAACCCTATACACCCTTGCAGTTTTTTTAACCAACTTTAGTGTACTACTCTCTTTAAACTTCATAATGAGGTTTTGATGGAGATGATATGTACATATTACTCTATGAGCTTGTGGGAACACCTTTCGAACAGCTTTTCTAATGGATCGATGTCTATCAGAAATAATCACCAGCTCTTGTTGGTCGGCACAAATCATACGTAACTGGGTTAAAAACCACTCCCATGAAGCATTATTTTCAGAATCTACAATCCCAAAAGCTAAGGGAAATATCTCACCATTTCCATCCTGCGAAGCGGCTACAAGTAAAACACCCTCAAACTTTCCTTTCAAATGAGCACCATCAACCACAACCACATTTCTTATAAACTGAAAACCATTGATACATGCACCAAATGCAATGAACAAGAACCTAAACCTGTCTTGCTCGTCGCATATAAGTCTAGTAATTGTACCTGGATTCGCTGCTTCAATCTTATGAAGAAACATAGGCAAATCCTCATAACCACTTTCCCATGTACCTTGTTCAAGCTCACGTGCATGCACTAATGCTTTGTACGACTTCCAATAATCAATATCAATACCATACACCGCCTTCATGACATCCATAATGTGCATAGGTCTAATTCCAACACCAATTTTTCCAAATTTTCTCAAATATAATTCACCAATACACTTTGACGTAGCTTGTCGATGACGAGAACACCTCTCTGTGACTAAACATGTATGAATGTCTATGTATTTTCGCACTTTAAACTCTGAGGATTTTTTTATTGCTGATGCACGAATCTTCCAAGAACAACCAGCGACTGAACATTTAAGTACCAACAAAGTTTTTGTCGACTTGTATGTTGAATAATCAAAGTTCTGAAAAATTGTGATTAGCCGCAACTTATGTTGTAACTCCGCCTTGGAAGTATATACTTGCCCTACCCTAATACGCTCTAGGATCTGCAATATATTCTGTGTGCCTTCTAAGCCACCAATCATATGCTCTCCAATATCCCCATGAAAATAAATATCTGAAGTAGACCCATATCTATCATCAATAGAACCATGAGTTTGTCCATCTTCTTCAAGTTCATCTAAAGAAGAACTATGTGTCTCATTTTCACCAAATTTTTTAGGCGTACATCTGTTGACCTCATTTTCTTCACATCCATACGGAGCACCACTATGTGCCTCATTTTCACCAAATTCATCAAGAGTACCACTTTTTTCATCAGTTTCACCACCTCTGTCAATAGTACCACTTTCTTCTGGATCTTCAACACCTCCATCAATAGTACCACTTTTTTCCTCATGTACACTAGTATCATCAAGAGTTCCTCTTTTTTTATGAACTTCACCAATTTCCTGCAAGATAGTAAAACATAGAAAAGCAAATCAGAATAGCATAAAATATACAATTATTTTGCAGACTTTAGATTATGATTAGGCAGACTCATATTCAATCCGCAGACATATAAAGTCCACAAGTTCTTGGTAGACGAAAATATCCAATCACGCAGACTTATGTTTTGTCAGCCAAATATTGGTAGACTTACGAGAAGTTTAAATATTTTTGGTAGACTTCAAAATCAAATTTTAACAGACATATTAGAAGTCTGCGAAACACCAACCAGACTTGCGTGAAGTCTACACATTTTTGGCCGACTACAAAAACACTCACTAGACTTGCGTGAAATCTTCATGTTTTAGCAGACTTTAAAATCCGAGCTTGCAGACTTGTAGTTAGTCTGCAAAAAGTCACTAGACTTTCCTACAGCCTGTACATTTTTAGCAGACTTAAAGATCCTATCAATCAGACTGCTCCCAAGTCTGCAGAGATAACTTTTAGATCTACCGAAACCATGAGGATATTATGCAAGTCTACCGACCCTAGATTCAAAGTCTGTTCAAATTACGTAGACTCCACGCAAGTCTGTCGATCTTCAACAAACAGATATTGCACTTTTTCGAGATATTTCTGGAAAGATATTAAAGACCGAAGATGTTCATACTCTCAAAGCAAATATCACTGTGAAAATCTGCAATTTGGAGAAAATTTTCTCTCCATCGTTTTTGATGTAATGGAACATCTTCCATTCACTTTCCAGATGAACCAGCATTAGGTGGACCGGTACAATTCCGATAGATGTATCTATTCGAGTGATTTATGTACCATCTCAAAAAGAAAGCAAATAACAAAGCACGCATTGGAGGGTCAATAGTGGCACAATGTATAAATGAGTAAATCTCTTACTTCATATCCAATTATTTTGCGTCAAAACGTGTCCATGATTTCTCTGCCGATGTTGGCTTACAGTTCACTTACATGTACCCCGATGTTCCCTCCATGTTTCAACCCGTTGGACGTGTTGATGTAGACATGCATATCGTTCAAACATTCCTAATGATAAATTGTGAAGAGCTTGCACTGTATGAGAGGTATAGAATATATATATATATATATATTTATATATATATATATAATTACGAACATATCATTTATTAATCTACTTTTACATAAATATAAAAATGTATATGCAGGATGTTCGAAGAGTATATGACTCTACTGCAATCAAATATCACCGCAACCGAGATGACAACCGCTAAAGAAAAACATTATGCTGAATGGTGCCAAGACTATGTATATAT